ACATATTCCCATGCTTGTGAACGTGCCGGGCAGGGCACACTATAATCAATTATACAAGCTTAAAAAGAAAAATTATATTTTAAAATAGATGTGGGCAGGCCTAATGTAACACAGTTGTTGCAACCTAGATGAGCTTCTCAAATGGGACACTCACCAGACAGTCACACTGGCTTCACACCTTTGAATCCATGCACCCTTGACTTGCTTGGGTGTAGCAAAATGTAGGTATTACCCATGAGCACACTCTCCAGGTACAGACCCTATCTGTGACACCTCTCTTAGCCGTAGGGACCCCATGGTCTAATTGCCTAGGTCCTGAATCGGTGCCAACTCCTCGATCTTCCATAGCAGCTAGTGTCTATACTTAAGGTTCTTTGAAACTGTTGAGCTTCTGGTTACTGCTTCCCTCTTTGAGGACTGTGTGGCAGTGGCAACTAGCAACACAAACATGCAAAATAAAAGGGATTTCTAAACACATGCACTCCACTCAGAGGAAGCTTAACATCTGCAAAGATCCATGCAGAAAGTAACAAACCGATGCACACAACTCTCCCGCAGCACTCCCGGCACTCCATTCCTCCACTCCTCCTGCCCAGTTGTGCCTTCTTGTTCTGCTTGTCTTTTTATATATTTTTATTATCCTCTGGTACATGGGCCTACTGGGCCTCAAAGACTTCCTCAGGTGTTTAAAGTTCTCCCATCAGAACATGGGTTGTTTTATTACCTCGCATCTCAAGTCCAGACCCCCTCCCTACCCCAAAAATCCCAGTTTCTCAAAGCATAGTAATCAACTCACTGCATGGTCAAAAGTCCACAGCATTCAGATGCTAGTGAACCTTATTCCTGTAAGATATCTACATGTATATGATGTATATTAGCAAGTGATTAGAGCATAACTGGAGTCCATAAAGTTAAATTATAATTATTAACTGTTACATAGACATAGATGATGTGTTACAATGACCATACATTTACAACCATAGAGGTCCTGTGGAACATAAAGTTTCTTTCATTAAAAAGCATGGTACATGAAAGACATCAAGCAAAATAGAGTCTCTTCCTCTGACTAAGGTGAAAACAGTGAAAGGAAGTGAGTAAGAAAGTACTGGCCTGTTTATTTCTAGGATATTATTCAGTCACTAGATGCCTATGTGAACTATGAAGTGCTAGGCACAACATGGTAGCTGGTTAACAAGGGAGAGAGATCTAGCGCACAGGTTGGGTACAATTGAATTTTAGTGTTTGTCACTTGCAAGATTTTACAAACTAGCTCTTGAGTAAATCCTATGATTTTATCCCTGGGCTGACAGTGGGCTGGAAAAAGCACTTCTCAATCTCTATCACACTGTATTTCTACACACACTCCACTTCAGATTCAAATCAGAATGCTTAGTGTTAGCTTCCATTGGACACATCTACATGAGATGCTAACTACACCGTAGCCTAACAATACTGCACAGTAGCGTGCTGGGCAAAAACTGCGCTAATACACTACTGCACAGTAATATTAAGCTACTGCCCATGCACTTAAGTAAGTGTCACTGAAACCCATGCAGTGGCACTACCGCACAGTAGTGCAAGTTACTAGGGGACAGTGATCATGAAATGATCCAGTTTACTATTCAGAGTAAGGTGGGGAGGGTACTAGCACAGCGCAAATGCTTGACTTTAGGAAAGCCAACTTCGATGTGCTCAGGACAGTAGTCAGGGAGGCACTTGGAGCCCAGGTTGTAGCTAGTATGGGGGTCCAGGAAAGGTGGTCCTTCCTCAAGGAGGCTATCTTTGGGGCACAGCAGGATGCAATTCCACTGTGCAGGAAGGCAGGAAAAGGGTCCAAGAAACCTTCATGGCTGAGTGTGGATATCCAGGCTGGCCTGAGGGCAAAGAAAAAAGTGTACTGGTGGTGGAAGTAGGGGACAGGGACAAAGGAGGAGTACACCTCCCTGACCCGAGCTTGTA